TCGTATGCGGAGAGGTCGGCAGTGTGCCAGCCTTCCCCCCACAGGCCTGTTGGCTGTGCTTTCCATGCTGAAGCCATGGTGCGACCAGCCTGCCACGTAGCTGGCCACCGCTTTGGGTGGGCTGTGAGCTTAGGGCACCCGGCCGTAGTTCAGGAACCCGAAAGCAGTGCGGGTGTCCCAGTACAAAGTGGCACGCACTGGCGAAACCACTGGGGGGCTCGAGTGACCGAAGTGGTGGGCTGCGGCCCAGCTCTGCCCGTCCAGGCACATCTGTGTCACTCGTTTCCAAATCAAGGCCCCTCGGTCCTGCTGTCCCCTGCTCCTGACACAGCTGCCCCTCACCCCGGAGCCGTGAGAGGACGCGGGGTCTGGTCACCACAACTCCCGGCGAAGGCACGTCCCACGCCCCACGCCTTCCGAATGTCCCCCTCCCGGACTTGGAGCCACGCAGTCATGCCCCGAGGCGCCAGGTGGGTCGCAGAGGCGGGTTTTCACGTGCGGTCCTTCCGGCCGGAGCGGGGCGTGGCGTCTCGCACGTGGCGGGCAGAGGTGAGAGTGTGCGAAGCACCCGGACACGGCACGAGGGACGCGCGAGGGCAGCGTCCAGGGCGGGACAGGCGAGGGCCCCTCAAGTCCGGCGGCTCCGCCTCATCCGGGGAGCCAGGCGCCTCTCGGTGGCCGGACACGGCGAGTGCTTTTGCCCCAGTGTCCCCCGTCCGCTCGCTGGGCCTGGAAGCGGGGCGTCGGGTGCATGAGGCCACTGACACCCTGGGCCTTGCCAGCCGGTCGAGCTGCCGGCTTGGGGACTCGCTCTGCCTGAGGGAGTTGCGTGCGCCCTCCACCTTGCACGGTGGCGACCCGGCACGGACGAGCAGCCTGCGTGTGTAGAGCATCCGCGCTGCTTAGAGCGCGTCGGAACCGCGCGCGGCTGAGCTGCGGAGCGTTCGACAGGCGTTTGCTCACTGGGACACGCCAGCTTTCTGCCTCCTGGGGCCTGGGCCGCAACTTTAAAAAAGTGTCATCGAGTCGGGAGGTGACCGTGGTTTCCTTGTGGCTTTGTTTGTGGCTGTGAGCTCGGCTCTCGCGGTGGGCAGACGGGGGAGCCGCCTGAGGGTCCCGGAGCGGGGTTCCGGGACGAGGGGCATCGAGAACCCCGGGCTCCCAGAAGCCGATGCAGAGCCAGTGACAAAGATGGCGGGTTTCTCTCGGGAGGGGCACACTGGAATTAGGCCACGTGGGCCGCCCGTGGCCCTCCCCGCGGGACAGCGGGAAGGGGCCGGGGAGGGTTGGGCAGGTGGGCGAGCGTGCAGGCTGGACACGCTGCTCGGCCCCGCGTAAGGATGGCTGCTACGTTGGACGTGTCGTTCCCTTCTGAATCAAAGAATTGATTTTATGCAGAGACTTGAAGTGACGTGAGGGAAAAGCAAACTTTCCTGACAGAGACGCTGATTCCCGTGCAGTTCCGTTCACGTCTGTACTCGGCGTGAGCCCTGGCTTCATGCAAATGCGGACGGAGGAACATTGATGAAACAGACCCGAGGACCCCAGGGGCTGGGCTTCTTCGCCCTAGAAAGGTTTCAGAGGGTTTAAGTTTTCAGTACAGAGAATTCTTTGTTTGGATTCGGCCATCGTTTCTCATCTCATTCATCAAATTGTCGACCGAGTCTGCCATTTTTGGCTCTGGGTGGCTTGTCTCGATGTAGAGAGAAAAATGAGGACACGGTGCTGCAGTCACTTCCAGGCTGTGGCCAGACCCTTACCCGCTGCAGGACCCACCTCCGCGAGGGGCCCAGCTCTGCCAAGTACGTTTAAAGTTAGGAATCGTTTTTAAGATGCAGAGGTGCTGGCAAGTGTCCAGACCGAGCCCGGTGTTCCGGTCGGCTGAGCAGAGTCTGTCCGGCCGGTCGCTGGCTCCGTGGCCTGGGGTGCTCTCTTGAAGGTGGAGTGACTCTACTTCTTGTCCCTCTTTTCTGTCCCCTGCCACATCATAAGATGGCAGAGATGCCAGAGGCGGCCCAGCCCCCTGGTAGGACCGCTGGAAACCTGGGGGCACGGCCCTCATTAGCGGGGGGCCCTCCCTCCCAGGGCCACTTCTACGAGCAGCATGGCTCTTGTGTCCTCCCGACGCCACCCCAGGCTGTCCCTGTGCTCCTTCTCTGACTCTGACCTTTCGAATTCGGCAAAGATCGGCGAGCCCAGCACGCAAGCATGTGACCCCCATGGGCGGTTTGAGGATGTCTCGGCTCGTGTCTGTGTCCGCCGTCAACATTCTCCCCCTTTTTTCTGCTAGATGGTTGCGTTAATCTGTGAACATGAGCATCGGAGCGATTTTATTTCTTGTTTTTGTAAGCGATCAGCGACACGGGTGGGTCGCCGTCTGACGCCCCATTTCCTCTCCCCACCCGCATGAGAAGGGTCTGCCCCCAGGAGATGAGCACCCTTCGCTGGTCACGTGTGGACTGCAACTTCCTCACAGTCTGCGCGGACGGTTTTCAAGGAAATCTAACACGGCGCGAATCTCTCACTCACATCCCAGGGACAGATGGCGTCGAGCGAGCATCTGCCGCTGAGCCGTGGGCTTGACTTTGCCAGATTTGTTAGCAAATGGTTGCCGCGATTCCGCTCTGACTTTGCGAAGGACAGTATGCCCCTCTCTGCAAACGCTGCCTGGCGGAGCGGCCGTGGGACGGGCCGCGCCTGCGCAGTGGGGCCGGCGTGGCCAATTTCCAGAATCGTTAATAGATTATTTTCCTAGGCATTAACCACCAAATTCTCTAAGGCCATGATTTCTTTATGACTTATCTGTTTTGCTCGGGCAACCCTTCAAAAATAATTTACCCATAATTTAACAACACTAGAAGGCTGCTCGCCTTTCGCCGGGGGCCAGGCCGTGGCTTTCGAGCATTTGGAAAGCTGGTCTGTCTCGTGCTGCAAGTTTGATGTCCCTCCCCTTCTGTCGTTTCTCATGCGATGAAAATGGCCTTATTAGTAAGGAACTCCCTGATTTTTCTTCTGATTTGCTCTCATTTCACAGTTTTATTTGTCTCGTTTTCTTAGAAATAGCTTTGCGCTACGAGCACCCGTGACGAGTGACAGGCGTTACGCCAGGCTGACTGAGGCCGGGGGGTCGCATCCCCGCCAGGAAGGGGGTCCTCGCGGGAGCGCTCGTGCGGCGGCTGCGTGAGCTCCGACGAGACGCTCAGGTAGAGGCCGAGGTCGGCTCTGCTCCTCCGACCGCTCGGCGCCTCCGCTCAAGTCCGATCGACCTTCGACTCCGAATGCGCCCCCGGCCCAGTGTCTTTGCGAATAAAAACGGAACGCGATCTCTTTTCGGACTGAAGCGCCTCCCAGCCGCGGGAAGCGCACTCCTTAGCAGGGTCTGCGCGTTTCGGTCTGTAATCGGTACCACGGTACCGAGTGCTTGAGCGGCCGTGACACCCTGTTCCTGTCTCTCGCTTTAGAAGTGAACTAAACTCTCCGTATTGGCGCCTTTGGGCATTAAGGGCGCGGAAGCTTTGACGCGCCCTTCGCCTCACGTGTGGTGCTGAGCAGATCTTGTTTCTAATGGAGACTCGCGTGCTGCTTCCCCATCGACGTCACGCGCAGCACGCGCAGGGCCAGCGCCCGGGTTTCTGTTCGGTTCCGAGAACGACTAGGCTGGGTCTTCCCGGACGCGTTTTCCTCCGTCGATACCGCGACCCCCCTTGCGTGTCTCGAGAACGGGGGACCGCTGTTGCCTGGGTGGTTCCCAGGTGGTTGGGGCTGGCATCGTGCCCGTACCCAGGACGTACCCGTTGGTTGGCGCCTGCCATCACCGGGAGACGTCCTCCTGAGTCAGCCCGCCATGTGGGGCTCCCCGCTGCAGGCCCCTGGGCTGGGTGGGGTGCCCCGGGCCTGCGGGGGTCTCCCGCCTCCTCGCGGAGGCCAGGCGTGCTGCTGGGCGGAACCGCCCTGCCCTGACAGAGGCCGCTGTCCTCTCGCTGAGCCCAAGCACGTGGCCACGGCGAGTCCCCGAGCGCCCTGCCCAGGTCTTCCCTTCTTCCCGAGGGAAGAGTCGGTGTGATAATTCATTTATCTAGGGAAGCGACGTTCCGCCAGTGGCTGCAGGCTCCCCCGTCAACCGTGACCTGCTCTGTCAGGGATGACACGGCTGTCCCCACGCAGCCACACCCGTGCCCGTGAGGGTCCGCGTCTGTTTCAAGGTGTGCGCCTTTAGTGGAGTGGAAACCAGCGTGAGCGGACCCCGCTCAGGCAGCCGGCGTGTCCTTGGGCAATAAAAACGGAACTCAAATGCCAAAAGGAATTTTATGGCGACTGGAGAGTCCTGCGCTGTGTAAACGTGCTGGCCCCGAGGGACTTCACTGCCGCAGCACGGCACTGCCACACGCTCCCACGAGGCCGCCTCGCCGCCTCTCCGGAAAAGATCGCCCAGCACTGTGCCCCGCACCTGGTCATCCAGGCGACGTGGGACGGCGAGGGGTCCAGAGAACCTTCCCGGGTGTGAGCGAGAGGCAAGGGGGGCTGGAGGCTGAGTGGGGCCACGTGACCGGAGGACCCCGCGGGATGTATGCTTTGTGCACACTCGACGCCTCGTTGACCCTGTGCCGTCGGTGGACACAGGCTCACCCGGAGAGCACTCCAGCTTTCCACTCAGTGTCATCCTGCGGCCGGGTGACCTTGGGGGGTTACGCCGTGTGCCTCGCCTGTAACCTGGGAGAGTGACACCAGCTACCTGGGGCTGCGCTCTGAGGACCGATGAGGTGACGGTGCGGTGGCTCTCGGGTCTCAATAAGTGTCAGATGTTGCCGCTGACAGACTGTGGTTTGAAGTGTGTCTGTCAGTGTCCCGCAAATGAGCGTTCAAATGAGCTCCCGCCCTGGAGACACCTCAACTAGTGTCCAAATAGTAAGGATACTTTTCTCTTTATTACGGAGAAGAATCTGTTGTACCCTGTGAATTCTGTGACGTGTAAAAAGAAACCCACGCTTTGTTTTTTTCAGGTTGTCCAGGTGCCAAAAAGAATGAGTTTCTAACAAGCGTCCTGGATGCGCTGTCCACCGACATGGTCCACGCCGTCTCCGACCCTTCTGCCCCCGGCAGGTAAGCTGCGTTCGACCCCGAACAGGGAGCTGGGAGGAAGCCCAGGGTCCACTGGAGAAAACCCGAGACGCCTGAAGCCAGAGGCCGGCGGCTGGACACGAGTCCCAGTCCGCTGCCGGGGTGCGCGGACAGGCCCGAGCAGGGAGGAGGGAAACACGGGGCTCAGACCTCGTCGCCACGAGTCCCGAGCTTGCTTCATCGGCTTCACTGTCTGTCCGTGAATTCTTTCTCGTGATGTTGACAGGATCCTGGTCACCTGTCCGGTGACAGGCTCATACAGGAAAGGGGCCTCTCCCCAGCAGGAGGTGCTCTGCGGTGGTGGGGGTGGGGGCGCTGTGATTAGCAGGGATTCGTCACGTGGTTACACCCCTCAGGGCTTCGTGCCAACGGGAGAGGCCGGAACACGGGTCCCATGGTTCCAGCAGGCGGCCATGGGGGGCGAGGGGAAGGGATAGCCCTGGTCCACATGGCGTCATGCTGTGGAACTGCATTTAGAGCTGGTGACCGGATTGCAAACGCCATGTAGTGAAACGTCCGATTTAAAGTTCTCAGAATAGAACTTGGTGTCTGTTGTGGGAAGATGCGCATAACGAAATTTGCCGTCTCGGCTCAGCGTTCCCACGGCTCGGCGTCCACGCTCCGGCTTCGGGAACGGGGCGTGTCTGTCTGAGCGTGGGTGGCACTCCGAGCCCTTCGCTCCTGACGGACGTGTCCCTGTCCTGAGGGGCTTCTGTCGCCAGGTGCCAGCATGAGGGCGGCTCACGGCCTTGCAAGGTTGTGATGGTCCAAGCCAGGGACCCCTGAGATTCGGCAGGATCTTGCCTCTTTGTTTAAGGAACTCTTTCTGGTGGAGAGTCTCCTTATCTTCATTTCTTGGGAGCACTGGCCGTCCTCACCTCTTGCCCCCGAGCGCTTGATGGTGTCGCCTCTTCCAGGACGCTAAGTGTTCTGATTGCCTTCACTGAAATGCCCTCTTCTCTCTCTCTTTGCTGGAGAGTAAGATTCGAGAAGAAAAAAAAGGTCTTGTTAATGGAAGTTGTTACAATAGGGTAGTAGATTAAACTGGAAAAAAAACAAAAGGAAATCGCCTAAATTTCAGACTGATATCTTATGTTCCTGGAGAGATGGCTCTCCCCGGAAAGCCGAAACGAAAGCGGGGAGGCAGTCGCTGTGTGAGAGGGTCCCCCGAGAGTGTGCGAGCACCAGCAGCGTCCGGGCCCGACAGCCGTGACCCTGGGTCGATGTCCCTCTCCTCCCTGGCGAGCTCAGGCTCCCCCCAGCCAGCCGAGCGTGCGGGCCGTGCAGGCCAGCCGCCACGAGGGGAGGGCGGTGGACGCCCCACCACTCCGTCCCTCACCTTCCACTCAGCGACAAGGCCCGTGTTAACGTTTAGGACAGTTTCAAATCCACGCCTTCTAGAAGAGGTGTTGTTTATTTATATTTCAAAATGTAGAATTTTTTTAATCCAAGGGAAAGCGTCCACTTGTCACTTAAAGACGCATTTTTATTTGTGTCTCTCGGTGTACCTGACACAAGCAATGTGCCGATGAACCGCATGTAAACGGGGAGAGGACCTCGCAGTGTCACAGTGTCTCGTAGGCTGGCCTCGAGCCGGCCTGCCAGCCCCTGGGAGCACAGAACCGAGATGAGGCTGCTTTTGTCCTCGCGAACTTGGCCAACGCCAAGCGCACATTTGGCACATGCAAATTCGCTGTGCCATTTGCAGTTTTGATCCCGACTTGAAAAATTGTTGCTAAATCTCTTTCTCTCAATTAGTTTAAAGTAAGTTATATCGAATGGCAGACCCAGGCCGGCCGAGGCACCAGGGCTGTGGCAGTGACAAGGGGACCCACGAGAGACCTTCCGCGGGCGGGCGGGGCGCGGAGGGGCTGTGCGGGGTGCGGAGGGGCGCATGCGGCCGCGGCCCGACGTGTGCGCTGTGTGTGTGCCCCAGGCTTTCTGAACCCGACCCCAGCCACACGCTGGAGGAGAGAGTGGTCCACTGGTACTTCAAGCTGCTTGATAAAAACTCCAGTGGGGACATCGGCAAGAAGGAGATCAAGCCCTTCAAGAGGTTCCTTCGGAAAAAGTCCAAACCCAAGAAGTGCGTGAAGCGGTTTGTCGACTACTGCGACGCGAACAACGACAAGTCCCTCTCTGTGCACGAGCTGATGGGCTGCCTGGGCGTGACGGAGGAGGAGGGCAGAGGCAGCGCGCGCAAGCGGCACAGTAAGGCCCCGCCCCCGCCCCGCCCC